TTATCTCGTATTGAGGCATCTACAATTTTGGTTTCCGCTATACAGGTTGTCTCACCCGATGAGGAGATTGTAGACCCTTGGTATAGAAAGGTATTCATTAATTGTCAAAAGTTCCCTTCTAGATATAAAAATTTCAGGGTTGATGACAACACATTATATAAATTTTGTAAGAATAAATTCAATCCGGATAGTAGATTAAATTGGAAAATTGTTATTCCTAAGGAACATATTTTGGATACTATTAAGTCAAACCATGATGATATAAATTCTGGTCATCTTGGGATTCATAAAACTATTAAGAAATTAAAACAACATTATGTTTGGAACGGTATGTTTAATGATGTTCAAAATTACATTAGATCTTGTGACATTTGTAAAGCCTATAAGCATAGCACTTCTCAACCTTTTGGCATTATGGTTAACCCAAAGAAAGTAGACCGTCCTATGGTCATGCTTTCGCTTGATATAATTGGAATCTTGCCTAAAAGTTATTCTGGACATAAATATATTCTTTCAGTTGTAGATGTTTTCACAAAATTTTGCTGGGTTTTTCCATTAGTAAAAGCAACCACCTTATCCGTTTGTAGAATCCTTGAAAAAGAGATATTTCTTAAATTTGGTTGTCCTAAATTAATAGTTTGTGATAATGGTACTCAATTCACTTCTAAACATTTTGTAGATTTCATGAAGGGTTACAACATTACTAAAATTTTTTATAACACATTGTACACACCTCAAAATAACCCTGTGGAGAGGTACAATAAGACAGTAGAGACTTGTATTTCATGTTTTGTTAAAGAGGACCAACGTTCTTGGTCTAAATTTTTGCCTCACGTTCAATTAGCTTTAAACAGTAGTGTAAATTTGGCTACTGATTTTACTCCTAATTTTCTTATGTTTGGTAGAGAGTTGATTGTTGACGCTTCTCTACACCGTTTTAGCAATTCTTTGAGTAATTTAGACCAGCTTGAGTTTGGTGAAAGGGACTCTTATGCCCTTTCTCTTAAATCTCTTAGTGATATTTTTGCTAGAGTTGAGTCTCATTTGTTGAAGGCGTATAAACGTAATGCGCGTTATTATAATGTTGGAAGGAAGACTATTTCTTTTGATGTGGGTGATATTGTTTGGAGAAGAAGTTTTGTTCAGTCTAATGCTCCAGCTTATTTTTCGGCAAAGCTTGCACCTAAGTTTATTAAATGTAAAATTGTAGAGAAAATTTCAGATAACGTTTACCTTTTGCAGGACCTTTTAAAGAACACCACTGGTCGCTATCACATTAAAGATATTATTAAATATTAAAATTTCGCTATTCGGTCATTAACTTTTGGGTCTTATTTTGATATATTTGTTGGATTTCACATTTGTGTGAGGAAGGATGTAGATTGATGTATGCTAGGTTATTGTGATTTGTATGTTGATGTAGTGCGCGGTATTCTTACCGATATATTAATTTTAGGGTTTAAAAGTTCAAAAGTTTACTTAGGTCATTTTGGTTTATTATTTCAGGAACTTCATTCATAATAGAGACCACATCAAAAGAATATTTTGTTTGTATCTTATTTGCAGTTCTACCCATGGTAGAGTGTTTTGTTGGAGTTAGGTTCGCCCTCTTTTCAAGGGTTGAATGGGATGTTTGTTGGATTCACACTTTTTTTCAGGTGATGATTGGTTTGTTGGTGGGATTCACGTTTTTTAAGCGTTGAATATTTTTGTTTGCTTTCTGTTGTATTGTGCCCGGTAGTTCGGTGGGGTTGTGCCGATCACAATACACAGGTTTTTTATATATTCACACCGTCTTGTTGTGTTGAATATTTTTGTTTGGTTTCTGTTGTATTGTGCCCGGTAGTTCGGTGGAGTTGTGCCGATCACATTACACAGGTTTTTTATATATTCACACCGTCTTGTTGTGTTGAATATTTTTGTTTGGTTTCTGTTGTATTGTGCCCGGTAGTTCGGTGGAGTTGTGCCGATCACAATACACAGGTTTTTTATATATTCTCACCGCCTTGTTGTGATGAATATTTTGGTTTGGTTTCTGTTGTATTGTGCCCGGTAGTTCGGTGGAGTTGTGCCGATCACAATACACAGGTTTTTTATATATTCTCACCGCCTTGTTGTGATGAATATTTTGGTTTGGTTTCTGTTGCATTGTGCCCGGTAGTTCGGTGGAGTTGAGCCGATCACAATGCACAGGTTTTTATATATTCTCCCCGCCTTGTTGGGATGAATACTTTGTTGGTTCGGCATGTTTGACATGTGTTTGAAGTTAGGTTGAAGCATTTTGTAACTCCATTAGAGTCGGTGACGAAGGTGTCCAACCGCACTTCTTGGATATTGATATCTTTGAGATATACAATTCCTGATGGATGTTGTTTTGTTTTGTGTAATTCGTAACTCCATTAGAGTCGGTGACGAAGGTGTCCAACCGCACTTCTTGGATATTGATATCTTTTAAGATACAATTCCTAATGGATGTTGTTTGTGAAGTTTACTTTGTTGTTGTTTGTGTATTTTGTTGTAGTTTGCAGCTCCATTAGAGTCGGCGACGAGGGTGTCCAACCGCACTTCGTGGAAGCTGGTATCTTTTTAGATGTACAGTTCCCAATGGAAGCAGTTTGTGTAGTATATTTTGTTGTGTTTGTAGCTCCATTAGAGTCGGTGACGAGGGTGTCCAACCGCACTTTTTGGACTTTCTAGTCCTAATGGTAGCTTGGTGTAGGGATTTGTTTTTGGGTTTGTGTGATTTTGTTGTAGAGTATATTTTGATCTTATATTTAGTTTCCTAGTCCTTTTTGGCGTATGGATTTTTGTATTCCTGGAGTTTGTAGAGTTTTAGTAGAGTTTCTGGTAGAGTCAGTTTTGGAGTTTAGTTATTTTGCAATCTTTTTGTTTGATATGTTTGTTGAGTGGTGACTTTTCAGCATAAAAGAAAGAGTCCTTTCTTTTATTTTTTTTCGGGAAGGTATGTAATGTAACGGTGCATTTCGCGCCATTACAGTAATTTGAACCTTTGTCTCGTTTTTGTTTTGTTAGATTGAATTTTTTGTCGTTTCTGCGAGTGCCGATGGTCGAGGGACGGACGAGAGTAATAATCGATGTTGTTCGCCCGCGATTAGTTTAGTCGATTTAGTTTTTCTTGTTCTGGCAACATTTTTGTTTCCCCGCTCTATAGAGCGAGAGTCTATTGCACTGGTATCACTTTGACTTTCACTTTTGGATCGGCCGCCGAGAGAAATGAAGCAAACCCAGTTTGGTCGTTTAATTTTTTAGAAATCCGTATTTATTTGATATGGACGAGGGCCTATTTCCTCTTTAAATGTTTGGCCAACCTAGTTAAGACTCGAGCTAGTGGATCGAGTGATTATTTTTGATAAAAAAGGTGAGTTTGTTCGGCCACGTGCTTCACGCTTGGCTTGGCGGAATTTGTGGTTTTAACTCTTTGTTTAATTGGTTACAGGCAATGCTTATAATGCTTATAATGCCGCTGCTTGATTTGTGAAGCATTTTAGAACCCTGGTAAGTGAAATATGATTTCTTGTCAGAGTTATGGTTCATCCTGTGAGATAGGCTTTTAACCTATGATTTTTCCTTATTTGCAGATGAATCAGGGTTCTTTTTCTTTTTTAGTTAATATCTAAAGATTTTACAATACCTAAATTATTTTACTTTCTTATTGGAATGTCCTTGCGTGGCATTCGATTTTTGTCTCTCGCCGGAGTTTAACCCCAAGAAATTAGTTTGCTGTGGAGCTCAGAATGGTAGAAAAAGCTGCTTAGCTGCACGCCATCGTCTGGAGCAGGGGAGTACTAACCCGCCTCTTACACCACGTGGGAACCGGAGTGAGAAGTTTCGGAGTTGGTTTGATTTCATTTCGTTCGGATTGATCCAAGGTCATCGGTATGTAGTTTTGTTATATTTTTCTTGGCGACGTGGCATTGAACACTGCAGGTCCCCAAGGGGTGTTATTTTTCATTAGAGAGTAGGTCAATGCTATGTCTACCCTTAGAGTTTATTGTTTAGTCTATTAAGTCTTTATGCGACTTTGTTAAAAAACCTATACAGGTCCCCAAAGGGGTTAATTTTAATTAAGGGAGTAGGGCGTTGCTACAACTACCCTTATACTCTTTTCTTTTTGGGTCTTCATGTGACTCTTTAAAACTTATTAAACCTTATATTTTTCTTATTGGAAAGGATTGCATTAATGACAGTACTAATTTGTGTATAAGAATTACCTATTGTAATTAGAGACATAAGACACATTGTACTCTACAGACACTACGGGAAAATAAACTGCCAATAGAACTTAACATCTTGTATTCATTAGCTGTCCTCCCGCTTTGTTTTAAAAAGGTTCAACGCTGGCTGAGATGTCCGAGGTATTTGTTGTGTTTGTGGTGGGTTCTGTGTTCTCTTAAGGTGGTATCTGGCGCCCGAGACTTTATTTTGTTATTTTGTTTCTATTTGATGCCACCAATTCACCAATTTTAGTTTATATTTCTTTATAACACACCCAACACATATAATTTAAATTTTTTATTTTTTATTATTACATAACACACACACTCACCAATTTTCGACTTATATTAGTGTGAAAGCTGTTCCCTACAATTTTGCTTATGACTGTGGCCACTGCTCCGTACCTAAAGGTTGAAGCAAGATGTTACATAACCTTAATCAATTAATACTGTATGCAAAAAAACAAAACCTCTTCAGTTTTATTGTATTGGTGATATTATAGTACAATATGGCTAAAGAAAATTGAAGAATAAGAATTGGAAAATTTCAACCTTAGAAACAATATGTATCATATTGACACGTTAAGTTACGGAGTCTAACAATGATAGTTAAACATTTAGTGGAAAAGAACAGTTAAAAAATATATGAAAGACTTGAGACTTGAAATGATTATGTCTGTGACTGTACAAGTGTTTCAGTCAGTATTTGACTTTATTAGCTCAATTATATGTATATTATATTAAAATAACGTTTAACATTTTCAGGTTGTGTGCTGCATCGCGTTATGCTTTAACACACGCAGGAGTAGGTTGTACCGCCCGCAATTGGCTCTCAGTGGGTATCGGTCTTGCTTCTATTCCATTTATTGTCCATCCCATAGATAATGGGACCACTCTGTTTATGGACGAAACGTATCGAAAATGGGTTAAACCATAATACACAAACATGTGTTGAGGCCGACAGAGTAGGATGACCTTTAAAATGAATTTCAGAAGTTAGAAACGTGGTTCTAATGCTATATCAAGAAAAATATTTGAATAGTGATCCTGTAACTGCAAATTAGTGAAGGTTAGTGTGTATATTTATTTTATCTTGCCTTTTGATTTTTATAATGTTAGACAGCTAACACAATGCCAATGTCAAAGTACCTGTTATAGATTCATAGAATTCAACCTATTGTTTAGGTACCTAATTCTATATAGTATGACCTAAAGGTCACTCTTCCTGTGTAAACTAAGCTCTTAGAGTAAAATATAGTATCTTAAATTAAGTTCTCATTGAGTGAATTAGATTTCATTTTAAATTGGTGGTTGTGTTAATTTGTATCCTACAATTTAGAATAGTTCCTAATACAGTAGAATGTGTAGTATGCACTTGTTTCAACTGTTTGAATATTAGTACACTAAATTCTCAACAGAATAATTGATAGTATAGTAGCAATTGTGTAGCACATTTAAAATAAATGTTCAAAGAAGTTAAATGTAAGAATAGATGCACATTAAAAAGATTTTTAAAATGTTTGTTCACATTAGTAACTTTGGGTTTTAATACCTTATTGTATTTAAAATCTAAATGCTACTAACGTGTTGACTCTGGCTGATATTGTTTGACTATATGTATAGTGGTGTATGATAATTATGTAATCATATTAATGATGTAAGGCATCATGCAAGTGATTGATGACTCTGTGGCAGCAGTTTGAATAAGTTTACATAGCTAGGCCATGTCGTAAGACTGATAATAGACAAGGACGTATATTTTCTTCTACATTTCATGTTTTTGATTGCATTGTTTAATTTATGGTAGACAACCATGCTTAGTACCATTACGAACGTACAAAACGTTGCAAAGCATGACTTATTATACTGGTCTGCTAGAAAAGTGGGCCCAGGTCTTGAAGTGTCTTTATGAGTTGATCTTGTACTCGAGGATAGCGGATCCAAGCCACTCGGGTGATACATACGAAACATACAGATCGACCGAAGATCGGCCGACCATTGCCGCATCATTTAGTAACTTTTTACAAAGGCTTACTCTTTCTCACCTCCATTTCTGCCAATTGTTGTCCAAGGTTACGGCTTGTCTGGTGCGATGGTCTGTTCCGGAACGCGTCGTTAACCACTAAAGTAATACAAAGGAAGCGAATTCATTTGACCTCGCCAGATTCCTATCGTTGCAAATCTTGGTTCTGGTTAAAGGTCATAATAGATCTGGATGAGACCATGTCCATTGTTTTCAAAGAATCCAGAAACGTGGATGCTCTGCGAATCACAGGTTCAGACAAATCCAAAATGTATCAGCTGAAACACGTTTTAAAAAAAAGAAAACCAGATATGAGGCTTCTCACTTCCAATATATGCTACTTAAGTAATGGGTTAACGACGGTCCATCGAAAAATTGAAAATATTTCTTTTGTACCTATGGGTAACATTACCGTAATTCTTTTCGTTTCAAATAAAAGGAGTATGTATCTTTGTAATTTATTTTTACCATTAGAAATACTCAGATTGCTTTATGATAAAAATGAAAAAAAAGGAGGAATATTAATAGCTGTTCTTTTTTTATGGAAGAGGGAGAAAACGAGCAGACGCGTCACCTGATGAAAAGTGACTACCGCCGCCCATGAACGTGTGCTACTCAGGAGTCACAAGCGCGTTGCCAGCCTTTGAGGAACGAGTACGCTCTTTTCTTGAAGGTGTTAAACAGACCAATTTTTTGCTTTGTAACTTTTGTTCAAAACAGTATTACTTAGGCATAGATACTAGGTTTAAATTGGATCGATTATAGTTATAAGGCTTTGCAATGGATATTATGAATGAAAAGGATCTGTAAAGTGTCCTTATATTAAGTGCAATATAATATAATTTAATTGAATTATAAAATGTATTTATGAGCATTGGTATATTTTACATATTTATACTTATTATTATATTACGTTTAGTATAAATTGGTCTAATGCTTAGTAACGTAAGAAGTAAAATTACTTTGTACCACGTAAAACTTTACATACATTTTTTTATGGTACAGGGCGAACGAGTAACCTGGTCAACTCATGGTTAATAACTAACGCTAACTTGAAACTCAAAATATTGCCCTTTAAGTGCTCTTCCACTCTGATTTACGGTACGCACTTGAAAAGCAATTGAAGAACTACTTAACATCGGTTTTCTGTGAGGTCGTGCTATCAGTCCGGCCGAGCCGCTCCAATATGCCACAGAAAGACATTTCATAAAAGAAATCAGCGCCTGACATAATTATTTGGACGTATACTACGGTTAATTGCCGTTAATTTTTTTACAGGCGCGTAATAAAAGGTAAATGAAAATATTTATTAGAAATTTGACTACTATGTCGTTCAGACCTCATTATGACTACATTTGCAATAAGGCTAATCGTATGCTGTCGTTAGTGCTTCGAAATGCTAGACCTTTCAAACAAGCTAGTTCCTCCATAACTCTATACTACTGTTTAGTAAGAAGTATAGCAGGGCTCCCATCTATTAGACCGATGGTCCTCTAAATTTGGCTTGAGGCTAAAAATACCAGAATACGACAGCCGACTTCGTAGGTTTTAATTTATTCAAAAGTTTATTACTAAAAGAATGTGCCTCACAAGAATATTTGTATAATATCTTCGGGTTTTTTTTAATCTTTGTTTTGTTTTTTAATTAAATCTTAAACCAATTATTTTGTAATAAATAATGGAACTTAAGTTTATTATGTGAATACTCGTATAAGCTTTGTAATAGAATGTTGTGTAAAGTTATAATTGAACTTCAGATTTAAATATTGTACATTGTCAACTTGCACGTTGTCTGTTACTGCACCTAATAAATAAAATAAAATTTCTGTTTGCTCTATATGTTACAAACATAAAATGTAGAAGTTAATGTTAAGATGGCCATAAATATGGTGGTTTAGTTTTGTTACGAGCAATGCTAAAGTAACAGCTGATGGTAAATTGTTATTTTTTGTTCTAAGGCGTCTAATGAAACGAAACTAATTGAACTACTATGCATCAAGTCTCGCGGACAGTATTTAGATGAAGTCAGCCCTTATTGAACGATAATTTGTCAATTTGTTTTGCATATGTACTGTTTGACTATTTTTTTATAAATGTTAAGTTCTATATGTTAATAGAAATGTAAAAAAGAAATTAGACCAAATTTTACTAAACGCTATCAAATTCTAATGTTCAGAAATTTAAAATACATAATGTATATTAAATGTGAATTAAAAAATTTAGAAAGTTTGAACCAAAACGTCATTTGATTATAGAAATACATACCTGTTATAAATATTAATAATGATTGGAACTTTACTAAGTTAAATGCTTAATTGTCTCGTCAAAAGCTTAGCTTTTCTGGCATAGTAAACATTTTTAAGAAACTTAAGATCAGGTTTGCCATTTTTTTATATCTGTATACTCAAAATTCCGTTATTAATTAACTCATTTGGAAAATTCTTTTTTTGTTTAAAGGACTGGCAGGCATGTATGGGACTTTTGTACCGCTTTGCGTATCTCATGGTAGGGATTATTGTTGTATTTATATGGCTGGTAATATCAACAATTACAGTTTTAATTACAAGATTTTTAAAAAGCTCTTTCAGTTTGTAGTTTGCATAAAGGCTGTTCTGAAATCGATACCAATGACAGTAGGCTGTCACAAATGAGTTGTCATTGCTGTCAACAAATTTACATAGATTTCTTTCAAAATCATTCGTTTACATTTTTTTTTGATGCGTCAATAAAATGGTGCCCTGTCAAATCAGTTGTATTACTCTTTACATAATGTTCACGATTAATTCAATCGGTTTGAATAAAAGTTATTAGTACCTTTCCTTAAATTAATTGATTTAAAATAATCATTATTTTATTATTTCGTCTAATCTGTACAGTTAACATTATTAATAAAAAAATATTTGTTTTTAACTGCTTAATACACTAGTGAGCTCATTCATTAATCTCGATGTAACCGTATCGTTTTTTATGTAACTGGTATTTTATGCAAGGCAAGTTTAGAAAACGTAGGAATGCGTTTTGTTAACAACTGAACAACTGAACTGAAATGAACTTTTGACTGCACGGATGGTGTAGTGGTTTAAGCGGTCGCCACGCCGCTTTTTACTACGCCGAGTGTTGTGGGTTCAAACCCCACATGGGACGACACTTTGTGTGATCCACAAATTGTAGTTCTGAGTCTGGGAATTCTTTGTGTCGGTTTCATGTATGCGGCAGTTGTCTTTTTAAAAAGAAAGAAAGAACACTTGAACGTTTAGTTATTGCAGTTGTAACAATTCTTTGAGAAGAATTTATTTATTTTTAGCAAAGTTCTAAAAATATGAAAATTCTATGAAAATAAGATCACTCATTTTACAAACGGTACAAATGTCATAACCATTCATCATATATTACTAGGGGTACAGGATCTGCCGTTCAAATTTGAAGAAAAATACGAGACGACACTAAGAGTGAAAATTAAGGAATGAAGAATAGTTTATTACAAACTCACAGAAGTCAATAGTGACTCCCGTCCGGTTCGTTCCTGGTGCAATGGGTAGCCATTGGTATTCAACGCGGCAATACAGCAAGTGTGATGGACACCTTTCCACCGGAAACGATCAGGGACGGGTTAATTTCATTAAAACCTTCTTTATGTAAATCTGCTCGTTCTTATGAGCCTGCGTCTGTAATATATTTTTTGTAAATTTCGTTTATAAGTATGTAATGTAAATAATGTATTGTGTGTTTATCGTCATTTGTTTATTACACGTAAAGTAGAAAATAAAATATTTAAAAAGGATTTTTTTAAATATTTTATTTTCTACTTTACTTTACTACTTACTTTACTAATTATATTTGAGGCTCTTAATAGGTTATTTTTTGGTTTTCACAATGACAAAGTAGTGACGTAGAAATTTGATTGTCTTCAAAGA